TCATTATTAACACCGCCCCGAGTTAAAATTTGCACCGTTGTTAGCTCAGTATTGGCACCGCGGCGTTTGAAATTTCGCACAGCTCCCACCCGCCGTCTCGCAATTCAAGAATGGTATAAACGCCCGCGCGCCTGGCATACTTTCGTATGTGGTGGATCGAATTTCGCACTAACATGTCGGTGTCGAGTGCGCACGTGGCCGCAGAGAACGCCTCGCATTTCGAGGGGACGGACCTTTGATATTTCTGTTTCTTCCTTCTGACCTCCTCCTCCCCGACGCCATTTATCAAAATATGATATCCGATCATGGTGAAGGCCTTGAAGAAGCCATCGGTTCGCAAGGCGCGAAGCAATGACACAAAACTGTTGCGCCAGATCTTGGAGAAACGCATCACCAAGACTAACGCCGTGCAATATGGTGAGCGGATGCACAGGAGCCGCGTGGGCAGATCGAAGTTGAAGGAACACCTGCCACTCATCAAATAGATCGCGAATTCTTGTTTGAGTTGGAGTGTCACGCCCACAGCTGTGCAAGCAGCTCTAGATAACATGGTGAAGGATAAGCATGTGAGGGTCAAGAAGGGCAAGGAATCATATTGGGTTTCCCACATCGACAAGAGATTGCGCACAATGATGTCACGCTGTCGAGAACTCGTCCGTCGGGAGAGGTCTTGGTTTTCTAAAGCTTGGGGCAATATGATCGGCGAGCTCGTCTCCGAAGCGCAGGATTCGGATCGGCAGGGCGAGGATGGCGAGGAGGGCGAGGATGGCGAGGAGGAGAGCCCGAAGGAGGTTGACATTTGCGTCGACGACTTCTAAGACTCGCAGCCGCTCGTCAGCCCGACCGTCAACAAGAAACCAGCTGCTAAGGACCGCATGCGGGTCCATTGAAACCGAGCCCACCCTTCCTCCTCCTCCTCCTCCTCCTCCTCCTCCCATCCTCCTCCACCCACTCCTCTCCTAGCTTGAAATCTCGATTGAAACTGAAATCGAAACCGAGACCGACATTGAAACTGAAACGCTCGCCCCCTGCAGGAGACGAACGTCAGCAACGACAGGGCGCAGCAGCGCGCGTTCCGCTGGGCCGCGTCTCCCGAGGAGGGCCCCATCGACTGGTGCGCGCAGATGCTCGCGCCCAAAGGCGCGCCAGTAAGCTGAGGATCAGGATGCAGACGAGGAGGAGAGGAGCAGGAGCAGGAGCAGGAGCAGGAGCAGGAGCAGAAGCGTCAGGCAAGTCGCGCGCAGAGCCGATGCGCGCCAAGTGGGACGACGGGGCCGAGCACGACGTGCCTGAGGCACCTATTGCTGCTGCTGCTGCTGTTGCTCCTCCTCCTCCTCCTGCTTCTCCTTCCTCCTCTCTCTCCTCCTCTCCCTGCTCCTTCTCCTCCTCCCCCTCGTGGATCCTCCTCTATCGCCTCGATCCCTCTGCGGTGAGCATCGGGGCGTGGCTCGCGGCCAACGGCAAGAAGGCAGCCACGGGCCAGGCGATCGACGGCGATGGCGAGGTCGGCGACGGGCAGGCCGTCGTCAAGAGGGGGGGGGAAGGCCTCGACGGCCTCGGGCTACTCCAAGGATGGGAACGGGGTGGTGGTGAAAGCCAGGTGGGAATGGACCCCCCAACAAGGGCAGGCAGAGGCTGTTCACGCTTCGGGACCTCGAGGGGTGCATGTTCACGATCAATCGGGATTGGTTTCCAGGGGCTGATGAAAACGAGAAGGACGCAGCCGCATTGAAGTGGATCAATACGTGGGCCGGGCAATGCAGCAACGGAGAGCTGACCAGGTCGGGGGCGATCGAGAAAAAGCATGAGGTGGCCCCGCACACAACGCACAAGCGACCAGCTGCTGCGATGAAGAGCCAGCTGCATCGGCGGCAGCCGCATCGGCGCAGCCTGAGGCATCGGCGCAGCCTGAGACACCTCGCACGCCTTCGAAGGAGGCGAAGCGATCGCCTTCGCCAGCCCCGAGCCCTAGGAACATCGAGCCACCGCCGTTTTTCCAGGTTGGCGTCGGTGGGAGCCAGGCGGGATCGGCGAAACGAGCCCTCCTCCTCATCCTTCTGCTGCTCCTCCTCCTCCTCCTCCTGTCCGTTGTCCTCGTCCTCCTCCCACTCTATCACTGCTGAGACTGACCGAGACTGAACTGAGGTTGAAGTTTAAATCGATTGAAACTTGAAGTGGCACCGAACTGGAAGCTGAAACTGTTGCTATATTATGGTTCGAGTCGTGTGTTATATGGGGCGATTCGCCGACGAGCATGTCCTGCCATTCCATGGCTGCCCAAACTGAGCTCGCGCGCCAAGATCGCGCCATGGCTCGGCGATCGCAGCGACCCGTCGAGGTCGGCAGGGGAACGCGCCACCATCCATCGGTCGGCCTTGCCCCCCCCCTCCCCCCTTCCCCCTCGAACCTCGACCGCGACCTTCTGAGCCTCGAGCCTCGGCATTCGATCGAACGAAACGGAAACTGAAACCGAAATTGGATCAGCAGGTCAGTGACAGCCGGGAAATCCCGTCGACGCAGCTCGAGGAGATCGGGGGTGCTCAGGCGAACGAGTTGCGCCAGCGCACCATCGAACGGCACGAGCAACGCATGCAGCAGCGCTCAGGCAGGCTTGCGGCCCCCGCGGTCCCCGATGTCCCCGAGTCCAGCGACGACGAGAATAATATGATGCGCATGCCCCAGCTTCGAGTCCCCCCGAGACTGCGCCTGGCCTCGAGTTGGTCGATGGCAGGGACCCGCGCGGCCATGAGATCGACGACGCGAGCTGCGCCCCAGGGCCGCCGGCCGGAGCTCCGATCGGCGACGCCAGCGGCGCAGCAGGGGCTGACGCGGGAGCTGCAGCGGCCGACCAGGGCCCGATCCTCCTCGCATCGTCCTGCACTCTTAGAATTCCTCCCTATATAGGTCCTCCTGCTAATCCTCCTCCCCCTCCTTCTCCTCCTCCTCCTCCTCGATCCTCCTCTTTGTTTGCAGCGGGGCCCAGGAGCCCCACGTCGAGCTATGCGGTCGCGACATGTCTGAGATGGAGCTCGACCAGCTCGCCACGAACGCCTATGGCGTCGCCGCCCAGGTCGCGGACCTGGACAGCTTCTTGCTGAAGAGTTTCGAGGAAGGCTTCTTCCCTGCAGGTGAGGTCGAGGTTGCCGAGGAGACGGCGAAAGCGAACTTCTTCGCATGTGGCGTCAAGCAGGGCGACGACAGAGTGCTGGAGGAGCTGCATGGTAACGGGTACCGCTTCGGAATGAAGTGTGCTGCGGGGAAGCGCTACAAGACATGGTTGAAGAACCGCGCTGAGGAAGAGAAGGAATACGACGAGAAGACCGATGCCGAGCAGAAGAAGTACAGGGAGAAATGGGGGGCATATCGCTACGGGGAGCACGTCGGGCACCGTTCCAAAGTCACGGGCCGCAGCCAGAAGAAGCGGTAGAAAGACAGGATTCTCAACCTAGATGCTATCATCACGGCGGGGGGTGGCCGCGACAGCATCTCTGCCGTGCGCGGGGCGCTGAACATAGCCCGCTGGCGCATGAAGAAGAGGCCCGCCCTGCGTGGAGGTCAGGGAGCGGTCGGGCAGGCAGGAGTTCGAGTACGAGGAGAAGAGCAGGCTCAATGAGATGGGCGAGACCTGGGAGCATCGCGAAGAGGAGCACGCGCCCAAGAAGCGGATCAAGCATGAGAGTGGCAGCAGTGGTAGCGGCGCGAGCGGGGGCAACCAGCGGCCTCCTGCGGCCGCGGCAGCTGGCGGCCAGCCTGGCGCCGAGGCGACCCCAGGCGGCCAGGCGGCGAGCGGCGCGCCTTCAGCAGGTGGCGGCGCGCCCAGCAGCGCTGGCGGGACGCCGATCAGGACGCAGTAGGGCAAGGGCGGCAAGGGCGCGAAGGGCAAGTCGGAGAAGGGCAAGGGCAAGACCGCCAAAGGCATGTGCAAGGCCAAGGCCAGCAAGACGAGCTCGCAGCAGCAGAAGTCCAGCATCAAGACAGTGACTGACACCATGAACTACTACTGCGCGACCACTACACAAGCCGAGAAACTCTTGAGGATGATCGACCGCAGCGTGGACGACTGGGGGAAGTTCGCGGCATTCACTGTGAGCCTCAAGGCGAGCCTCGACAGGCTGGTCCAGGACTATACCTCCTCCTCCTCCTCCTTTGCTCCTCCTCTTCCTCCTCCCCCTCCTCCTCCACCTCCACCTCCTCCTCCTCCGTTTGCCCCTCCTCGCCGGAGGATGCGGACAAGAGCAATTTCTTCCAGGGGGTGCTCACGACGGGCGTCGAGGCCCTGAAGGACCGATCGGAGGAGGAGGATCGGGAGGAAGAAGGAGGGAGAGGAGGAGGGGGAAGAGGAGGGGGAGGAGGAGCTCGGAGGAAGAGGAGAAGGAGGAGGAGGAGGAGGAGGAGGAGGATGGGAACCGATGAGGGGAGGACCCAACTGTTTCGGACAGCGTTCAATCCCCAAAAATCCCCAGGAGCAGGTCGACGAGGACGAGTTCGCTAAGGGCGTCGCGTCGATCTCGTTGCTGGACGAGCTGATCGATCAGGTCTTCTCGGCGAAGACCGCGCCCCACGACATGCGCAACGTTCAGATGCAGGGTTAGGATGTTGTTGAGGTAGTGCTATGTAGGCTTCGTGGGAGGAGGAGGGAGGAGCAAAGAGGAGGAGGAAGAGGTTCGCACTCGATGCAGACTCGTATTTCTAGATTTCTAGAGCGGTGAGGTAGAGATGCCGCCGCTCCTGGTGAGAGATCTTTCTGCGACAGTCGCCACGATTGTCTACATCAAACTGGACGGCCTCTTCCAAACTGTATCCCATGGGCGATCTGGGCGGGATTGAAGAGGCACCCGTGGGGTACCCGTTTGGTGCCCGTTTGGTACCCGTTTGGTACCCGTTTGGAACCAGTTTGGTACCCGTTTGGTACCCGTCTGGCACCCTCCTCGGACACGGTGTTTTATCACATATGGTGAGGGGGTACCCGTTTGGTACCCGTTCGGTGTCCGTTTGGTACCCGTCTGGCACCCGTTTGGCACCCGTCTAGCCCCCAGCATTTTTGGTTAATCTCTCCGGCAATTTCCCTCCAGCTAGCCGGCAACTGTGGTCTACAAACAGGCAACTTGGTGTGTTAAAGGCCCCTGAGCTCGGCTGGATAAGCCTGCAGAGAGCATGCAAACCCAACAAGAGCAGATTTAAAAGCTCAAACCCAGCCTCGAGAGATCCTCTCAGCGGAGCCTGGAGCCTCGCGCCCGATGGCAACTGTTACAAGGCAGCTGTGGTAAAGCAAACTTCAGCTCAAACCCAGCCTCGAGAGATCCTCTAAGCGGAGCCTCACGCCCGATGGAAACGCATATCCCCACGCCGTAGACGAGCAGACGTCGGCGAGCTCTGCAGACGTCGGTGACCTCGAGGAAGAGGAACCGATCGAGGATCGAGGTTTGGCGCTTTCGAAGTATGTGGTCTCATTTTGGAGGCCTCTCGTCACCATAGACTGGATTCGCCCTTGAAATATGATTCGAGATCATATGTCTCGATGCCCTTGGGATTTGCTGCTTCAGAGGATCGAGGCTTGGCGTGTTCGAAGTGGTCTCGTTTTTTGAGGCCCCTCGTCACCATGGACTGGATTCGCTTTCGAAATTCTGAAGGGCCAGATCAGTCTCGATGACCTTCGGATCGAGGTTTGAAATCGGCAAGCGCTGTAGTGGTGTCCACTCGAGGTTCACATGGGCTTGATCTACCCCTCGAAATTCTGCCCCGAACGCACCCGACTGGGAACGTCGATTAATCGGACGTCGTTTGGATATTTGGTGAGGTGTCGAGGTTTTACGTTTTCGGAATTGGTCTCGTTTGGAGACCTCTCGTTGCCATTGGCTGGATTCCATTTGACATTCTGGAGAACGATCCCAGGATGCGAAAAATAACAAACAACACGAAACGAACTAACACGGAAACCACAAACAATGTGAGTACAATGAGACACGGAATAATTGCACAAGAAAACGCAACATAATTCATCGTAGCCTCTGTTGGTTCGCACAAGAAATGATAGATGGCGCCTAAGAGGCGCCGAAGTCCCTCGCCAGAGCCTGTTCGGTTTGACGATAGCTCTGACTCAGATGAGCCATGGGACGCAGATGCCGATGTTGCAGCAGAAGCCCGCGATCAAGCAGGGCGTGCTCTTGCCAAGCATATGTTGCAGCTGTGCGCTCGCGGCGCACTCGATGCCACTTCATTCTGCATCGCGTGCTATCATGCTGCAGAATCGGGGTGTGAATGTTCGGACCTCGGCCTTTACGGAAGGAGGCCAGGGCTCAGCTCTGGCAATTACAAGAAGCACCTTGACGCGGTGCTTCCAACTTCTAACGTTGAGACGTGTACCTTGGTCGTTCCCCAGTGGAGGTTTGGTAGGAGAGTGCGCAGACGAATATTGCGTGCACCTTCCCGCGAAGTCCTGAATCAAGAATGCGAGATATCTCCGCCGGGGCCCATTCCCGTCGACGAGCTCAATGACTGGAGTGAGGCGTTCAACAATCACCCCAAGCGTCGCCTAGCTGACGACGCTAGGCCTGTTGTGCCGACAGCTTTATACCTGGACGGTATACGTTACACTCGGACGACTCTAGCAGGGAGGCAAGATTCTCTTACAGGGATATTTGCATATTCTTTAGCCTCTGGTCTACGACACTTGTTGGCTGTCCTTTCAAGGCGAGAGATGCGCAGATGTGGCAGCGGTGGGTATTGTACTTTGAACCCAGTGTTTTTATTTATCGAAGAGAGCTATGCCGCTGCTGCTTCTGGACGCAGGCCCGCGGTGCAATGCGACGGTTCCCCGTGGCCTGAACATTCTTGGTATGCTGAGCTATATCGCGACAGCCCAATGATGCCGTTCAGGTATTTGGTTGCGCAAATCGAAGGAGATTGGATGAACTGCACGTCCACGTTTGGCTTTGCCAGTTGAAACTCCAAGCGCAGGCCTTGCGCATTCTGTAGGTGTAGCAAAAGGACAATGCATACTTATGGCCATGTTCATCTGGATGGTCACGCGTGGGGCACGATTTAAGGTGATCAGTATGAGAGGGATTGCAATAGTTGCGAGATTAGGGTTTGGATCCGCACGGATCTTGACAGAGACGCAATCCTTCGTGGTGGGCTGAAATTTCAAAGCAAAAGCAAACAAGTGACTGGGCGAGTATTGCAATGTCGAGTGCCACGCTCCTCTCAGCTTCGGCCGCAAGATCGGCTGGATCCACCCCCTGGGTGCCTCGACACAGGTCAGTTCGAGGAGGCAACGTTGCCATTTGAAGCCTGCTTCTAGCGACGACGCTTTGATCGAAAGGGTGCTTGCTTAGATCCTGTATCGCGAAGGGTTCCAATATTCTGTGAGGCCGTCGGTATCACACCGCAATCGTCTTTAATGGTTGACGCGTTACACACGCTGTACTTGGGTGTATTTCAACGGTACGTTGCCTTTGTGACTTGGGCTTGTACACCGGAACGTGTGTATGTAATGAGTGGCAATGCAGAGGAGGTGTTTGAGTTGACACTTGCTCGGCTTTTCTTAGATCTAAAAGACTGGTACCACAGTCGGGGCATTCCGAGATCCGAACAGCTAGGGCAACTCACAAGCAAAATGGCAGGGGTGAAACAAAACACATGAGCTGGAAACAAAAGCAGCGGAGACTGGTACAATTGTGTCCTGGGCAGCTGGCGTGGCACAGAAACACGACCGCTTGAAGAGTCGTGTGCAAATGTTTGTTGCTGGGCATTGCCTCGTGGATTACATTGACACTTTAAGAAATGAGGGTCGTGCAATCTCACGGCCCACGTGCCGACAGCTCATCGAGCTCGCCGTGCGACACGTGACTTTGATGCAGGAGATGGGCGCTAACCTGGCCCCCACATCCCACCTTTTCGTTCACCTCACCCAGAGGATTTTGCGGCGTGGGGACCCACGCTCTTACTCGACGTTCCTCGACGAGTCGTTGAACAGAGTATTGCCAGAGATCGTAGCGTCAGCTAATCATAGCAGGGCCACGTGGGAATGCACGATTTTCTCACGCGTTCATTTGTTGCCGCACGTGCTGCCCCACATGGCGTTTGCGCAGTTGTGACGAGTAGAAAGACTAGATGTTGCATCCGCATCGCATCAGGCACCAATAGCACACACGCAAACAACGACAACATAAAACGAAACGGCACATCAGAGTGCAACAAGCACCGCAGCATGGCAATCGAAAAATGAGCATGCGATTGATGAAGCATATGGCGATAAGGGTCAACGCAGCAAACAACAAACGGCAAACATTAACATAGAAAGGGGGGTACGGCACTAAGTTCGCCCCCCCCTCCCCCTTCCCCATGCCGATCTGGGGTCCACCTCCGACCCGAGGGGTCGCTCTCGAGAGGCGCGCGGCTCGAACGCCGCCAGGCTTTGCAGCGCCGCCTTCCTCGCGCGCGTTTGGGATCGGTCTGAACCCTGATCCTAGTCCTCCTCCTGCTCTCCTCCTCCTTCTCCTGCTCCACCTCATGCTCCTCCTCCTCCTCGGCTTCCTCGCAATCCCTCCTCCTCCTGCTCCTCCTCCTCCTCCCCCTCCCCCTCCTCCTTCGTGTCCTCCGCGGGCCACATGCGGCGTCGCAAGCTGCCGAATTGGAAGGAGCTCGCTGCCGCGATCCCCCCAGACGCAGCGGAGCGAGAGGCAGAATTTGAGAGGATGGCCAAGGGGGGGGGGAGGAGGAGGAAGAACAGGCTGCGGCAGAGGCGGGCGAAGGCTCGAGCGATGCACCTATCAGGAGGTGGCGCGCGGACAACTAGGTTCTGCTGCCCTGGGGGTCAGGGTGTGAATAAAAAGGGGCACCGACGCGCCGGAGGTGCATCGGCAACGCCGCGGCGACCGTGATCGGACGCATCGAATCGTCGATGCATCGGCGCTGCGTCGATCGCGCATCGGCTGGCGTCGATGGCACCGAAGCGACGATGCATCGGCGATCGATCCTTCGTCGTCCGCTCGGATCTGGCTTTTATGGGGCCTGCAGGTTCGGAGCCCGAGGAGATCCATGCAGAGTCGAGCGAGTGCGAGCCCCCCGCAGCCGAAGCTCGCGAACGAAAGATGCGCAAACTCGAAGCACGTGCACAGGACATGACCTCCTAAACGACACCTGACCTCCAGAGCAATCGTGGGGCGTGGGCAAGGGGAATAGGAACGGTTCGAAATTGTCTGTGGGCCCCCGCGGGAGCATGCATATTCGATCTGGTTCCGATCGAGGAGCGAGCCGTTGAAACACATCGTTGTGAGCAGGCTCGGCGCGAGCTCGAGCCTGAACGCGAAGCCCTTCGTTCGGGGGGGAATCGCGGTTCGGGGCCGTCCCGCTGTTTTCAAGTTCGGCCCTTCCGAAGTCCGTTGCAACGAGGCTTCGGCATTGGGAGGGTCGGACTTTAAACCAGCGAGGCGATCTCATATTGCGCTTCGCCCACGAACGAAGATTCCGAGGAGCAGCGCTGGCCGTCGCAGCAGCGGGGCGAGCAAGCCTCGCGAGAAGGCAGCCCCGCGGGCCGACCCGGGATTGTAGATATTTCAAGCTTGGCGGGTCTTCTGCTAAGCCAACCAAGTGACGAAAAAGGGGTGCTTGTGCGAACTGTGTAGACAGAGACATCTGCAGAGGCCCTGACACTGGAACACCTGTATATAGAGAAGCTCGACGGCAATCCGCACACATGAAAATCGGCGTATGCGGCGGGCAACTGCATATGGGGCATCGCGTCAATCATCCTGTCCCGCTCCTCCCGTGGGTGGTGTCCCGATGATGTCCCGTTGTATCATGCGGTGTTCCGATGGCGCTCCGTGAGACCGATTGTGAGGCCCATCGCAATCGCAAGCGGTAGGCGACCACGCACTGTAACGATACCTCGCCAGATGCACACAAGAAATTTGCACCGCGAGCATGGGCTAAATGTAACGCGCTCGCGTTGGGCCGCGAGCGAACCACGCCAAATGCACATATCAGAACCACGCAAGGTGCAACCTGACATTTTGCACCGCGAATGATGATAACAACGCAAAGTGCACGCTGGAAATTTGCACCGCGAGTGATGATAACAACGCAAAATGCACGCTGGAATATTGCACCGCTGGCAACAAACATTTGCACCGTTTGGCGCTGGAGATTTACGCCGCTGGCAACGACAAATTGCACCATTTGCTGCTCCGCGCGGCCAAAAAATCGCACCGTTCAAAACCAGAGTTTGCACCGCTGGGAACCAAATTTGCACCGTGCTTCTGGCGGTGCAAATGTTTACCGGCGTTCACCCCGTGGGTTTCGCAGCAGGCCACCGAGCCTCGACCTGCTGGAGGCATTCGCATTCGACTGCCCTGCGCTGCGGGCCGTCCCGCGGCGCGCGAGGGCAGCGGCCGGGCAGGCCACGGAGGAGCTCTGCGACGCAATCCTCCGCGCCTCGGCTGGGGGCGCCGAGGAGGAACGCGCCTGGAAGCTGCTCGCGCTGCGGGGTCGCCTGCTTTTTGAAGCCCCGCTGCGGCTGGGCCCCGGGGCCGGCGGCGCGTGGCGGCGGAGACGCTGGGCCGCGCGCTGCTGGTGCGCGAGCGTTGCTCCGCGCTGCTCCGCGGCGACTGGGGGGGCGCTCCTGGAGGCGGCCCAAAACGCAGCCCGGGGGCTGGCCAAGGCGCGCCGGCAGGCCGACGGAAGGGGGCCGCGACGAACGCTCCCTGGCCGACGAGGTCATTCGCAAAGGGATGGCGGACGGAGGAGTATTCCCGGGCCGCCGCCCTGCTGCGCAGCCCTGGCCCCGCGCCTCTCACGCCCGACTCGGCGGCTCAGCTGCAGGCGCTCCTCCAGCCGCGCCCCCCCGCCGCGCTGCCCCCAGCGGCGGCGCCGCCCGCCAGGCCGCCCGCGCTCTCTCACATGGCCCTGGAGAAAACGCCGCAGGCGGCCCCCGGGGCAGCGGCGCAGCGGCTGGCGGCGGGCGCTTTGGATGCTGGCGCATTGTGCTGGCCCAGCCGACGGCCCTGGCCGCCTTCTACGGCGCGTGTGACCGGGTGGCCGGGGGGCGGGCCCCCGCCACCGCAGCCGCCGCCCTGGCCCTGGCCAAGCTCACACTGCTGCGCAAGCCAGGCGGCGGGGCCCAGCCCATCGCCGCGCCGGATATATTGCGGCGGCTGGCGGGCCGGGCGCTGGTCTCCCCTGGAAGCAGGAACTGGCTGAGGTCCTGGGGAGACAGCAGTTTGCCGTGGGCGCTGCTGCGGGCGCAGTGCTGCTGGCGCACGCGGCGAGGGCTCCGGCGGAGGCCAACCCCGACCTAGTGCTGGTGGCGCTCGACGCCAAGAACGCTCGCTGCTCCGCCCACCAGGAGGCCTGCCTCCGCGGCCTGGAGGAGGTGGCGCCGGCGCTCCTGCCCTACGCGAACCTGTTCTGCCGCCGGGGGTCTCTGTGCTACCTCTGGGACGCGGCCGGGGTTTGCCACCGCTGGCGCTCCGCCAGCGGGCCGTGCCCCCACTGGCGACCCACTGGCGCCGCTGCTCTTCGCCCGCGGGCCGCGGCCCCGCTGGCCCGCGCTCAAGGAGGCGGCTGGGCAGCAGGGGCTAAACCCAGATGACGTGCGCGTCCTTGCCTACTTGGATGATGTCGTTGTCCTGGTGCCGTCGGCGCTCGGGGGCAGGGTGCAGACGGCGGCGCAGAGGTCCCTTGGCGGCTTGGGCCTCGAGCTGGAGCCGAGGAAGACGCGGGCCTGGTCCGCCGGGGCGGCTTGCCTTCCGGGACTGGAGGAGCAGGGGCGCGCGCGGGGCCTCGCCCTCGTGGGGGCCACCCTGGGAGGGCCGCTGCCCCCCTGAGGCTTACCCGGACAAGAGCGACGCGCGCCGGGTGGGCCTCGGCGGGGGGGGCAACGCGGCGGAGCGCTGCGCGAGGACGGCGGAGCGAGCGGCCGGGCTATTGGCCAAGCTAGCGGAGTTCCTGGCGACGGCCTCGCCGCACCTGCCGGCGCGGCAGACCGCCTCCTCCGCGCCCGCGCGCCAGCGACCTCGGCGGCGCCGCCGCCGGGCCCACGACGGCTTACACAGTGCTGGCGCGCTTGGACCCGCTATCAGAGCCGCGGCAGGCCCAGTGCCGGCTGCCGCTGCGCGTCGGCGGGCGCGGCTTCCGCAGCCAGACGCAGCTGGCGCCGGCGGCGTGGGCTGGCTCCTGGGCGCAGAACCCGAGCGGAGTGAGGGAACGCGCGGGGCTCGCCTGCCTGGCAGACCTCGAGACTTGCCCCCTGCCCCTCGCTCGCGCTTGCCGCGCCGCGCTGGCCGGGCTCGCGCGCAGCTGCCGCCGCCGCCGCCTCGCTCGGGCGCAGAGCCGGCCGCGCTTCCCGCCTGGCGGACGCTGGCCGAGACGCCGCAGCGAAAGCTCCAGAAGGCCCTCACAGCAGGGATCGGCGAGACAAATTTCGACACCTTGCTGGGGGCCTTGTTTCGCTCCTTCGGCGGGCCGCGCGCGGGCGCCTGGCAGACGGTCTCGCCGGGCCTGGGCGCCCAGCGGCTAGAGGACGCCGGCCACTGCAGCGCGGCCCGCGCGCTGCGGCCAGGCCGCTGCCCACCCCGGCGCGACCCGCGCGCGGACAGGGGGGCGCGCTGGGCAGCACTGCGGCGAGCCGCTCGGCGACCGGGCGCACCGCGCCTGGCGCTGCGCCCGCGGAGGCGGCCTTGAAGCGCGCAGCTGGTACTTGGAGCGCGCCTGGGGCCGCATTCACGCGGGGTGCGGCTTTCGGGTGGAGCACCAGACGCACGTCCCAGCTGGGGACCGCTGGCGCTGGCACTGCGGGACCTGCGACGCAGGCGGCCACGCGCCGGACCGGCCGGCGGCGCCCCGCGGCAACTGCGGTGCTGCGCTGCAGGCGGAGCGGGAGGAGGCAATCCTCGACCTCGAGGTCCAGCGGGCGGACATGCCCCAGCTGTTCCTCGACTTCACCGTGCGCTACTGCGTGCCGGGTGACGAGCGCGCCCTTGCCGCCGCTGCAGGGCGCGACGGCGCGGTGAACGCCGAGACCGAAGGCGACAAACGCCGGCGCTACCCGCCAGGCCGCGCGCCGTGGGGCATGCCGCCCCTCGCCCTGGAGACGGGCGGCCGGCGCGGGCGCGCCGCCCTCCAGCACCTCCTGGAGCTCGCCCGCGGGGAGGCGGCGCTCCTGGGCGAGGAAGCAGCGCCGGCCGCCGCGAGCGCTCTGGCGAGCCGCTGGGGCCGGGAGCTCAGCGCGGCCCTCCACAGGGCCACCGCCCGGCAGCTCCGCGCCGCCCTCGGCGCCGACGGCGTCGGCAGGGCGGCCGAGCTGCGTGCGGCCAGAGCGGCGCAACTGCGCCGAAGCTGGACTGGAAGCTGGCCGGGGGGCGCTGGGCGGTGGCCGGGCTGCTCGCGGTCGACTACAAGTTCAGAGCGGTGTGGCGCGTGCAGACCGTGCTCATTCGGCCAGGAGTAGAAGGTGCAAGGACATGGAGGATGAGAAAATTTCCAGAACAAGGGCGAGGAGGAAGGGGAGGAGGAGGAGGAGGAGGAGGAGGAGGAGGAGGAGGAGGAGGAGGAGGAGGAGGCGGAAGAGGAAGAGGAGGAGGAGGAGGAGGAGGAGGAGGAGGAGGAGGAGGAGGAGGACGAGAAAAAGGAGGAGGAGGAGGAGGAGGAGGAGGAGGAGGAGGAGGAGGAGGAGGAGGAGCGAACGGGACCAGGACCAGGATCAGGAGCAGGGCCGCAGCGGCAGGTCGAGATGGAGGAGGAGGGAGCAGGACGGACGAGAGGGAGGCGGCGCAGGAGGAGCAGGAGTGCCCTTCAGGGCCGCGACCGAGTAGGCCGCAGTAGGCGCGCCCTGCGGCGCATCCCGCGGCACCCCCCGCCCAGCCAGCGGTGGGCCACGCAGGGGGATCGGGCGTTGCGTAACGGATGGGCGAAGCATGGAGGGGTCAAGAAAGGTGCACTTCGCGTGCACTTTAGCGGCCCTGAGGGGCCCCCTGGGGCCCACGATGCGCACGAAAGGTACGCGTTTTTGCGCTCCCCAGGTTATCGTTCCCCACCATCGCTTCCCAAAGTCTCCCAAATGGGGTCGGAGTAGATGGTGCTGGAGGATCGCGCCGCGTCGGTGATGTATCGCCGATGCGGTACGATGCGCGGCCCAATTCTCTCCACGCCGACTGCGCCGATGCATCGCTAGAGTTGGCGATGCACCACCGATGCGTCGGCGCTGCGTGGGGGGTGCATCCGCGATGTATTGGCGATCCTCCAACCCCATTCATGAGGACAGCACAACCCACCCCCACCCCCCAGCCGTGACCCTCGCTCCCGGCCTGGTGATCCAGGGGGTCTTGGCTGGGGGTGAAGGAGGGTGGTCGTTGGCCCCCAGAGCCCCCCACAAGCATACCTGGCTCCGGAATCACCAGGTCGAGAGTGGGGGTTCTGGCTGGGGCTGGGGGGTGGTTCGGACCACGCCATGCCCCATTTTTGGCGGCGCGCACAAGGGGGTGGCACGAGGTGGGTGGCCTTCTAAAAGGGCGGCGCGCTTCTTAGAAGGCAGGGGCCTTCTTAGAAGGGTAGAAGGGCCTGCAGGCTTCCAAGAAGGCTTTTCTGAAGCCGGAAGGGCTTCTAAGAAGGAAGGCCCGTGCCTTCTTAGAAGCCGCCCACCTTCTCATAAGGCCGCCCCCCTCGCGCAACCCGGTTGTGCGCGCCGCCGGCAGTTTCGACCCATTCCTGGGGACTGGCTTTTCATCCTGAGTCGTTTCCTGACGGTCCCAAGGCCCGGCGAGGGCCTCCAGAGGCCGAGGATGGCGACACACCTCCGTCTTGATGTTTTTATTGCGTCGGATCTCTGGGTCGGACCCCATGTGGGAGGCGTCCAATCCGAGGCGGGAGTTTATACATAAACCGCCGCCCGCCTGGGGGACCCATGATCAGGGACTTCGGCTGGCGGTAGCTACAGTCCACCCGCATGGTAAGGTTGAGCAATTTTCCATGGTTGCTCTTGCATCCTTGCCCCGTCGGCCCATC